CCCTGCGGCGCCCGCCATGGGCTCGGGCGCTGCCGCCGTTCTGCCGCCGCTGATCATCCCGCTGCCCCTGCCGCCGCAGATTTTCATCATCCTGCTGCCCCTGCCGCCGCAAATGTGGATCACCATCCTGAACCCGCACCTCCGGGCCCGGTCGACGACGCCGAGGACGACGGGAAGTCCGACAGCTCCAGATCGGACATGGTTCGGGAATGACAGAGGGCCGCGGAGGAGCAGCCTCGACAGGAGACAGTGGCAAGGCGCCCACTGCGCACCGAGAACAAGCGCGGCACGAAGGCACAGCGACAAGTTCAACAATAAACCGCACCGCTTGCTCTTCGACGCGACCGCGAGCCCGACCGGCGCGAGCGCGCTGCCAAGCGCGGGGATCTTTTGGACGATTTGCCCAAGTGCTTCAAGGGGCCGAGAGCGCGAACAAGGTCGACCTCTACTTGGACAACTACTTCCAGAAGCACGCGGACGAGCTCCACGCAAGCGCACGACTCCGCGAGGCACTCCTCACGGGCAACGCTACCGCCAAGGAGCTCAAGTACGACGCCCTGAGCGCCTCCGAGAAGAAGAACACGGACGCCGCCATGAAGACCGAGTGGCCCAGGTGGACGGAGGGCGGCGCGTACAAGAAGCTCCCGCCCAGGGAGCTGAAGGAGCTCCTGCGGCGCAACCCTCGCATCCGCCCTACGGGCGCACGCTGGGTGCGGACCAGCAAGGGCCAGAACGTCATGAAGGCCCGTCTGGTCGTGCAGGGCTGCCGGGGGGACGAATCGCAGATCAGGGCGGGTGCGCATGCGGGGTGAAGGGGCGCGCTGTACCTTGCCCTGGCCACCGCGGCCCAGAAGAACTGGGACATCTCGTCCTGCGACGCGATGACGGCCTACCTGCAGTCGAGGAACATCGAGAGGCTGCTGCTCCTGCGCGCGCCGGCCAAGAGCCCGCCGCCGGGGGCGCAGCCTGGCGAGATCGCGACGGCCGCAGGCGCGACCTACGGGGCGCGCGACGCCAGATGGCAGCGGTACCTCTACGCCCAGAAGGTCTTCGTCGAACACGGCCTCGTAGAGAGCAAGCTCGAGAAGGGCCTTTGCTACTTCTACGACGAAGGTGGGCTCGCCGCGGTTATCCATTCCCACGTGGGCGACTTCCTGATCGCCCGGCGCAACAACTCCACCAAGCGGAAGTCCATTCTTGCATCGCTGGGGAAGAAGCTGCACCTCAAGCAGGTCGACAGAGTCATCAAGTACTGTGGACGTACAATCACCAAGCTCGACGACGAGTTTCGGGTGACCCAGGCCACCGCCGCCTCGCAGGTGGACTACATCGACCTGGAGGCCCCGAAGGGCCGCAATGCCGAGGATCGGCCCACCGCCACCGAGGTGACGAGCTACCGCCACACGCTCGGGCAGTGAGCTTTGCAGCCCGCCGCACCAACGTCGCCACCGTGGCCGACGCGAAGACCCTGAACAAGACCGTCGCCTACGTGCACTCGACCGCGAACTTCGCGATCGCGCTGAAGCGCAGGCTCGTCGATCTGATGACGGCCACCACCGCGTGCTTCACCGACGCTGCCTTCGCCAACGTGGACGGGGTCAAAGGCCAGTGGGGCATGGTGATGGGGCTCACTCACCGCCCCCGCGATGTCGTCGGCGGCCGCTACGACCTTTGCCTACCCGTGGCCTGGCACTCGGGCACGGCCAAGAGGTCGGTGAAGTCGACCTTCGCTGCCGAGGGCTACGCGATCGGAGACCAACATCTGGTTCCGCCAGTTGCTGACCGAGGCCTACAACCCCAAGATGGCGCTCAAGCAGATCGACGTCCTCGCCGACAAGCGCCCTGGGGAGGTCTACAGCGACAGCAAGGGTCTCGTGACGCACATCGCTTCTGATGCGGGCCAGTCTACCGACAAGCGATTCCGCATCGTCGCCTCCATGATCAAGGAGGCCGTGCACCCCAACAGCGCACTCAAGCTCAGCTGGATCCCGACCGGGGCCATGGTCGAGGACGCCTTGACCAAGGCGATGGAAACCGGCGCCCTGCTGGCCTTCTTTGGGGCCCGCAAGCACAGCTACGGGACACGGCAGCCGCATGCCGCCATGCTCGCCTCAGTCCTGTTTACCTGCCTCGGCAAGGTCAAGGGACAGCCTACGCCTACGCCGACGGTGCCGGACTACAGCTTCTGAGTATGCCTGCTGACGTTCACGCTGGCTGGTCCTCGGCATGACTATCGGTTTCGGCATCTTCATGACGCTCTGGACGATCATGAGGCAGAACAACATGATCGCTACCGGAGAGCACGTCGACGAGGCGAAGGCAACGGGCGAACATCCTGGCTGGGACGGCCGCATGTTTGGCCGGCGCCGTAACACTCCAGCTGCCACCCCCGAGGATCGTGATTACGACGGCGACATCACGATGTATCCTTCGGATGGACACAGCAGTGCGCAGGCATCGAGTTCATCAGCATCGGCTTCAGGCGTCTCTCTCGGACGCCACCCATCGCAGCCGCCGATATCAGCACCACCGCCGCCACTGCTGCCGCCAGAACCACCGCCTGCCAGCGCACCACCTACCGCAACATCAGCACAATCGAGGTCAGCGAAATCTCAGAGTTCGGTTTCAGCCCCTACCTCACCAAGCATAGTCACCGTATCGAGTTCATCGAATTCAGTATCTGCGAGTGTGGTTTCGTGGAACGGTTTCTCACCGACGGTATCGTCGAACGAGATGCTCAACTGTGTGACCGCCGTCTCCCGCCATGATTTCAGAATCGGGCATAACCCGCATAACGTATACATTACCTGCAAGACCTGCAAGAAGCACTCGTCATGGCTTCTCCGGTTCCACAGGAACAGCAATCCCGATTTCACGAACTTTCCCGAATGCGTGATGAATGATCTCATGGGCCATTGGAAGAGGCTCACCGGCAGAGACTGCTGGCGCAGACCTGACCTGATGGACAAACCGACGAAACCCAAGAAGGAAAGATGAATCCCGCTTGGTGTCCGGACGGCAGGTTGGCCAGTCGAACCAGCTAATATTCTGCAACTGTTGCTATAGACGGTCGCCTCTTGCGACCCCGCTTAGGTAAGTAAACATTGCTGCTCCATGTTCACACCCGGCTAAATGCTTACGTAAGTCCGCATTGCTGCTCCGTTTTCACACCCGGCTAAAGGCTTACGTAAGTCCGCATTGCTGCTCCGTTTTCGCACCCGGCTAGAGGTTTATGTAAGTCCGCATTGCTGCTCAGTCTTCGCACCCGGCTATAGATTTACACGTAAATCAACATTTAGAAAAGCTGCATTTAGTGTGCACAAGTTTTGATTCAAATATGTGATGACGATCACACCCATTCAGATCTTATCTCGGTAAGACAGTTTTTCGGGGGTTCCGTCGCTTCGCGATCGAAATCCTGCCATTGCTAGCCTTGCCTGGCTTTGACTAGAGCGCCGGCGGCGCTGAGAGCTGACAAGAATATCCTGCAGGTCGCGTGTAGCGCATCCGCTTAAGTGCCCCAAGGGCTGCCTGCAATGCAAGCCGTGTCGAGCCGTTTGCTCGCCTTCTGCCAGCACGCCTGGCACTCCGCTTAATGAAGAGCCAGGCTTATATGCCCGGCTGCTCTGGCGCCTCAGCCTCGTGCGCCCGCGCACCGTGCAGGAGGAGTGTGATTCCGGAAGACTCGCCCTCTTCCGCCTCGCTTCCGCTCTCTCTCTTGCCCGCTCTGCCCGCAACGGTTATCTCTCAAATAGGGCCCTTGGCCTTAGAGCTACGCAGTTTGATCGAGCAGCGCTCTCACGCGACAAAGATTGCCGCGCCGCGCGCGCCATCCATATCACACCACCCCCTCTGCCGCAAGCTTCAGACCAGCGAGCTGCCTGCCGTCGAGGCACAAATTGGCCCCCTCCGGCCTCGACGGTGATCATGAGGCTCTGAACGGCGAGGAGTCGGGGGTGCCCAAACCAGCGAACCACTCCGATCATCCCCACAATCCAGGTGCGAACGGGACAGTGTAACACCCACTGGCGACCCCCCCTTGGGGCGCATTCATGTCACACCTGGTACGTCTCGGGGTTCTCAAACCGAGGTGTCGGAGCCGCCAAACGATAAACGAGCGCCTCGCTCGAGACATCTCCACACGTGGTATGCCTCTACGAGGACGCCCTCATCCTCTCCCGCCTGCCTCAATCCTCCTCCTCGTCCTCCTCGTCCTCGTCCTCGTCCTCGCCCTCGTCCTCCTCCTCCTCCTCATCATCATCAGCATCAGCACCAGCACCAGCACCAGCACCAGCACCAGCACCAGCATCAGCATCAGCATCAGCATCAGCATCAGCATCAGCATCAGCATCAGCATCATCATCATCAGCATCATCATCATCATCATCATCATCATCATCATCATCATCCATCAGCATCATCATCAGCATCATCATCATCATCATCATCATCATCATCATCATCATCATCATCATCATCATCATCATCATCATCATCATCATCATCATCACCACCACCACCACCACCACCACCATCATCATCATCATCATCATCATCATCATCATCATCATCATCATCATCATCATCATCATCATCATCATCATCATCATCATCATCATCATCATCATCATCGTCATCATCATCATTCCTCCGCGGCACCCAGATGGAGCAGATGAGGCGAATCCAGGAGATTCTCCCCTTCCGCCCTCCTCACCTCATCCTCATCCCCCAGCTCCTCCTCCTCCTCCTCCTCCTCCTCCGCCCGCGCCATCCTCCTCCTGCGCCTGCCCTCGCACCTTCCCCTTCCCCACCCCACCCCACCCCTGTCCTGTCCCTGGTCCTTGTCCTCCTCCTCGTCCTCCTCGTCCTCCTCGCCTCCTCCTCCTTCTCCTCCTCTTCCGCTTCCTCCCGCCTTCCCTTCCTCCCTCCCGCCATCCCTTCCTCCTCTCTCTCTCCTCTTCTCCCTCCCCGCTTTCCACATTGTCCCCCGTCCCCCTGGCCTGGGCGTACTTCTTGAAGGTCGAGCTCGCGCTGCCGAACATCATGTCCATCATGCTCTTCAAGCGCCGCTCACCCGGGGTCACCTCTGGTTCGCCAGCATGGCCGCCGCCGCGGGGTCTTTGTTCAACAGCCACGCTTCTTGCCAGCCAAGTTGCAGCTGGCACACACGACAAAGTCCGCAGACCCAGTCGGCGTGAGGCGAGAGGCCCTTCGACGCGAGGCCAGCCCAACCCAAACTTGAAGTAACCTGTAAGTGTCTTGGATGATCCCCCTTTACGACATGGGAACTACTTAATTAGTTGGGACCGAAGAAACATGATCGACCCACGAAACTGGAAAATGGTATAGAAGCGTGAAGCATGGAAAATGTTGAAGACACCCAATGTGGGCGACGGGCAACTGCAATGCTCAAGATAGCGATGGTGATGTACAGTGCCAGGGGCTGTACTATTCTGTGCTGTGGTGAACTGAGACGCACCATGCCGCGTTGAAGTGCTGTGCTCTACAGGTCGCCCTTGGTGTCAGAATCCCGGTCGACCTTATCTGGATCTTAAGCTCGAGCTGCCTGAACGCACAAATCAAATCTGGCTGCAATCGGAACGCGCGGGGCGCTCTCGACCAGCTCGAGCTGAAGATCATATTCAGTTCGAAGGCGGGACGGGCCGAAAGGGGGCGAATTTGAACAATACTGTGCTCTGTTGCGTCGTGGATCAAAACTTCCCTGGCGCCCGAATCCTAACATGACAGAGCTGGGCCTCAAACTCGAACTATCCAAGAGTATTGCTCGCCAAGAACGAATTGCAATCGAGACCTTATGAACCGTGCGACGTGCGTGCCGTGCCGACCCGTGCGGAACGTTCCAAGGGACGTGCCACGTGCCAGCAGGACACGCCACGGCACTTGCCAATGGACGCGCCAAGGGACCCGCCGCGCGACGTGCCAGGGGGGCACCCCAACTTGCTAAGGAATGTCCGAGGCGACGTGCCAGGGGACGTCACGTGGTTTGAGCTCGGGACCGCCATGTTTGATACCCTCCTGTGTGGGACGTGGTTCCAACTCGCGGCCACCGTATAAGACCCTGGGTGGCGTGAACACATGAAAAACACGTGGTTCCAGCTCGGGACAACCATATGCCCCCCATGGCTGGCCTGGGCACGCGAGGTCACGTGGCTCCAGCCTGGGACAACCATGTTAGATACCCCGCATGTGCGGCCCAGACGTGAGAGAGAGTGGCTCCGACCCGGGACCAGCATGTTAGAGAGAACGCGTTTCACGGGCGCTTGCCTTGGGAACATTCGGCGGCGCGTTTCAGAAAGGGGGGTGGGCCCCCCCCAACACTCGGCGCCGTCGATCAAAACCAGGGGGACTCCCCTCCCCCCTAAACCCCCCCCGTCCCGAACCCCCCCCCCCCTTCCTTCCAAGGGTCAAGGGGGGGGGTCAAAACCCCCCCCCCTCGGCGCCGGCGCCAGCGCTGGCGGCCACCGGCAGCGCCAACGGCGGGGACGCAGCGACGATGACCAGAGGCAGCCCCAGGGGGGGGGGGAGGGTTCAAACCCCCCCTCCTCCCAAGAGGGGGGGGGGTTCAACCCCCCCCCCTCGGCGCCGGCGCTGGCGGCGGCCAGCAACGCCGGCGCTGGCGCCGGCGACGGCGGGGACGCAGCGACGATTACCACCGCTACCACCACCACCACCACTATCACCACCACCACCACCGCCTCAACCCACCACCACCACCACCACCACCACCAACAACAACAACAACAACAACACTACACAACCACCACCACCACCACAGCCACCACCACCTGCACAACCACCACCACAACTCACCATCACCACCACCACCACCACCACAAAAACCCACCGCCACTACCACCACCACCACAATCTACCACCTCACCACCACCGCCACAACCACCACCACTACCAGCAGCACAACCCACCGCCACCACCACTAACCACCACACCACCACCACCACCACCAGTACCACCACCACCACCACAACAAACGTCCACAAACCACCGCCACCACCACAACCCACCACCACTACCACCACCACGAACCACCACCACACCACCACCACACCACCACAACCACCACCACCACCACACCTCACCATCACCACCACCACCACAAAAAGCCACCACCACTACCACCATCCCCACAATCTACCACACCACCATCACCACCGCCACAACCACCACCACTACCAGCAGCACAACCCACTACCACCACCACCACTAACCACCACACCACCACCACCAGAACCGCCACCACCACCACCACCACCACCACCACCACCTCCACAAACCACTGTCACAACCACAACCTACCACCACCACCACCACCACCACAAACCACCAAAACCCACCACCACCACCACAAACCACCACCACACCCACCGCCACAACCACTACCACCACAACAAACCACCACACCAACACCACCACAACCACCACCACCGCAACCACCACCACCACCACCACCACAACCCACCACCACCACCACCACCACCACCGTCGCCCTCGTCGCGACGCTCCCCGCCACCGCCGTCCGCCGCCGCAGGCGCCGGCGCCGGCACGGAAACGGAAATCGTCGTCCCCGCCGCCGTCGCCAACCGCCGCCGACGCAAGCGCAGCGCCGGCCCGAGGAGAGGGGAAGCAGGGGGGGAGGGGGGGGGGGGTTCGAACCCCCCCCCTCCATCCAGAGGGGGGGTGCGGTTCAACCCCCCCCCCCTCCAAGCGACCACAGAACGCGCTTTTTCGCATGTTAGATACCACCATGGGTGGCCTGGACACGTGAAATCTTGTGGTCCCAGCTCGGGGCAAACATGTTAGATACCGCCGTGGGTGGCCTGGACATGTGAAACACGAGTCTCCAATTCAGGACCACAATGTGAGAACAGCCCTTTGGGTGGCCTGAACACGTGAAAGCACATGGTTCCAGCTCGGGGCAACAATGTTAGATACCACCCTGGGTGGAAACACAGAGTTCCAGCTCGGGGCCACCATGTTAGCAATCCGCCTGGGTGGCCTGGGCACGTGAAACCACGTTGCCCCAGCAAGGGACCACCATGTTAGATACCCCGTGGAAGCCTGGAAAAACAGAAGCCGAAGCTGTGCGCCAGGTCATTGCACATCTTGTGTCGATGTATAGATGTTGTCAGAGGCCCCTGTGGGCCACCAACGCTGGGGGCGCCCAGACGACCGCATGTTAGATACCCCACCCTGGGTGGTCCGCACGCGTACACACACGTGGCTCCAGCTTGGGGCAACCATGTTAGACACCCCCCTGGGTGGCCTGGACACGTGAACACACACACACATGATCCCAGCTCGGGGCCACCATGTCAGATACCCATCTGCGTGGCCTGGGCACGTGAGGGTAAGCGGTTCCACCTCAGGGCCACCATGCTAGATACTCCTCTGGGTGGCCTGGGCACGTGCAAACACGTGGTTCAGCGAGGGACAAGAGGTGACCATGTTAGATACCCCAAATGGGCGGCCTGAACACGTAAAAGCAAGTGGTTCCAACCCAGGGCCACCATGAAAGATACCCCCCTGGGTGGCCTGGACACGTGGAAACACGTGGCTCCAACTCTGGACCACCATGTAAGATACCGCTGAGGGTAGACTGGACACGTGAATCCACGCTGCCCGAGCACGGGACCACCATGTCAAATACCCTCATGGGTGGCCTGGACACGTCGCTCGTACAAAGGGTGGCCTGGACACGTGAAAACACGTGGTTCCAGCTCGGGGCTACAATGTTAGATACCCCGAAGATTTCTGGAAAATCAGCCGCCGAAGAAACTGTGCCAAGGTATTACACATCTGGTGCCGATTCTTGATTTTGTCTGGCTCTTGTGGGCCCCCACGCTGGGCCCCCCCCAGGCGACCATGCGTTACATCCCCCCGTTGGTGGCCCGCGCACGTAAAAACATGTGGTTCCAGCTCGGGGCAACCATGTTAGATATTCCCCTCTGGGTGGCCTGGACACTTGAAAACACCTGGTTCCAGCACGGGACCACCATGTTAGATACCCCCTGGGTGGCCTGGACACGTGGCAACACAAAGTTCCAGCTCGAGACCACCATGTTTGATACCCTCCTGTGCGACCTGGGCACGTGAAAACAAACATCTTGCCTGAGACATCCTGTGAATCCTGGCCCCTCCAGAGAAGAGCAGTCTAAAGGACAAAACACGCGTTTCGCTCGAGACATCCGCAACACATTCTGCAAAGCAAACGCTTCGGGGGAAACATCCGCCACAAACGAAAATGTTAACTCCACCATGTGTTTTATTCCCAACCATCCTGTGGTGTGGGGTCCTCGTTTTGCAGAGACGGTCCCCGCGTTCCTCCTCCTCCTCCTCTCCTCTCCTCCTCCCCCTCCTCCCTCCCCCTCCTCTTCCCTGCGCTTCACCCACCCAACACAGCGCTTCGTAGCCCCATAGGGAGCTCCACCGAAGGCCCCAGTGACAGCGGTTGCATGGCGGCCTCGGGCCATTTCGGCACACCCCTCATGAGGATCGTGGCCCCCTAGGGAGCTCCACCGAAGGCCCCACTGGCAGCGTTTGCATGGCGGCCTCGGGCCATGTCGGCACACCCCATCACGAGGATCGTGGCCTCATAGGGAGTTCCACCGAAGGCCCCAGTGGCAGCGTTCGCATGGCGGCCTCGGGCCATTTCGGTACACCCCTCACGAGGATCGCAGCCCCATAGGGAGCTCCGCCGAAGGCGCCAGTGGCAGCGGTTGCATGGCGGCCTCGGGCCATTTCGGCACACCCCTCACGAGGATCGCAGCCCCATAGGGAGCTCCGCCGAAGGCGCCAGTGGCAGCGGTTGCATGGCGGCCTCGGGCCATTTCGGCACACCCCTGACGAGGATCGTGGCCCCACAGGGAGCCCCACCGAAGGCCCCAGTGGCAACGTTCGCATGGCGGCCTTAGGCCATGTCGGCACACCCCTCACGAGGATCGTGGCCCCACAGGGAGCCCCACCGAAGGTCCCCAGTGACAGGGTTCGCATGGCGGCCTCGGGCCATTTCGGCACACCTCTCACGAGGATCGTGGCCCATAGGGAG